TGGCACAGTGGTGCCAAAAGTAGCCAAATTGTTCCAAATGCATTTTTCCACACAAAATGGAATCTGGCCAGACAAATAAGTTGATTTACGTTAGCCTTTTAGCCATTGTTTCATTGAAATTTACCATTAAACAGACAATATCATCAAACTGAATAGAAAATCAGAGTAACTGAGCAAGCTAATGTAACACATGCCAGTTACATCACCTGAAATGGTTGCATAATTACCTTTGACCCCTCCGTGAAAAGGTCTGAGCCTCTAGTTCCCAGTGATGCCAGCCATTAGGGGGTGTGGCTAAAAATGAATACCTCCTGTTACTCCGAGTATGTACTCCGGCATGTTAGGTGGAATTTAAAATCTCATTTTATATGTTTACACAGCTATAAAACAAAGAGTGTTTGTGAAAAAATTATTTAGAAACATGTTTTAGAAATTTTAAAGGCCCAATTTTGAAAGGCAAGTGGATGAAACACCACGTGACCATGTTTTGGCCATTTCTATGACTGGATTAACATGAGCAGGTGTCAGATGGTCCCAGTATTGGGCCCACCAGGCTAAAGGGGTTAAGAAGTTAGAGAAGCTCCTTCTTGCCTATTGCTTTTAACATACAAAAAAAAAAGTAGTTCAATTTTACCATGAAGTTTATTTTGGTTTTATATCAGTAACAGTTCAGTGTAGTCTAGGAACTGGTCTGTCCCTTTGGAAGAGGCACATAGATTGTATGCTATCTACACAGGAGATGCATTGTTCTGATGCATTGTAACCTGCTGTTATTCTTCGCAGAGGTCATACCAGCTTGGAAATACAGTATAGGCTTCTTTCAGCCCTCTTCTCAGAGAAATATTAAATTTAGTTTTGTGTTTATTTTTTCTGCTTTGACAAGGGTAGAGGAGGTTTATAGGTCCCCTCCCTTCAGAAAGAGTAGACTACTACACCATAGTTTTAATAGTAGATTTCACACAATTGATGGGAATGCATTTTTTTTATTTGTAATTCACTTAAAGCACCACTAGATGGAGGTAAATCTTACACACTGTCTCTTTAACAGGAAGACAATACAATATATTAGGATGTACTGTAGCATACATTAATACACCCATTTCCAGTCTCTTTGGCTTAAAAAAACAACAACAAATGAAATGAAAAATTATATATAAAGAGATTTGCATATCAAGGTGACCGAAGTGCTGTACATGGTCTATAAGGGTAAGAAATAAATAGTTAAAAAAAACAAATAAAATACAAAGTCTAATATTATAATAGAAAATCCATTTATTGTCAGACAATGCAAAAATTGTCGTGTTACAACAGCATAAGCATTACAGCAATAGTGGTCATACATTTTGAACCTAAAAAGTGTTTAAAAATAACAGAATAAGTGGCAGAGTAATAAAAACATATATACTCTACTGTACTGTGTATAAATAAGTAATTGGATAAAATAATAATAATCAATATACATCTATGGACATTTTTACAGTAATAAATATGTGAAAATAGCAGCAACAGAGATGTGCAAAATGACAGCACCATGTTATTTAAGTGACCAAGACAGAAACTGTGCAAAATCAGTATGAATGTAACAACTTATTGAGGTTGTTGGGAACAGTGGAGGTTATAAAGTCTTACAGTTTAGTTCTTTCTGCACAGCTCTCAGCCCCTCTATGGTTCCTGATCTAAAGGATGTCATCCTCTCCTTCAGAAGAGCCTTTATCTCAGGGTTGATCCCTGGTCTGTTGTTGGAGAAGTGCAAATCTTTCTGAGAGGCACAGTTTTGTCCACACAGAAGTTGATACAGTCGCTGATGCATTCTGTGATACTGTTGATGTCCTGTTGATTAGTTTTATTGATAGAATAAGAACAGTTAAAAACAATAAAATACAGCTACAGTAATATTATTAGAATGCAAACAGTTAAAAACTCCAGCTCCACTAGAAATAAAAGCCAAGTTAAAAAAGATTAGCCTTTTTAAGAGATTGTAAATCATCCACTGTAATGGCCGTCCTTACAGTGAGTGGATTATCACTCACAGTTTAGGAGTTGCAACAGAAGAGACTCCTTGGCTCACATGATGGGTCCCAACCACAGAGTGCCGCTAAGAAAAGGCTTTTGTAAAACCCTGATAAGCAAGAGGGTAGATCGCTTATACATTTAAAACTGATATTAAAAACGAAAGTAGCAGCTATTCAAAATTTCCCTTCCCAGTCAAACAACAGCTCAATGGCAGCCCACTTCCCTCCAACCCCCAGTGAAATCCCCTCCAGCTTCCAGTCACTGGAGTGACCCCCTCTTGCATATTTTTTTACTTTTTGACTCCACCCTTTCACTGAATTACAGGCTCTGACCAGGAGATTACGCTTCTCTTTGGATCTTAATGTCCACAATTTATGACAGAAAGAATATTTTAGTACAAAGATAGATGTTTAAAAAGGAATTGTAGGGGACCAGCTGAGGGCCCATCGAAGAAAGTGGGGACATTTTGAATAGCTACTACGGTACTCTTCTTTCACTGCTGACAACAATGAGAATTTAAACTGCACTGCTACAGTCAGTTAAAAAGTCTGGTTTAAATAGAGAAGTTTACAACCACATCATATGAAGTTAATGTTTGGTTACTCTTTGGTAACTCATACAGTATGAGAGCACTAATCCAACTAAAATCATCAATACCTGATAAATGGAAAAACTTCCTGCATGAACTTCAAGAAGAGGGTGGATTTCTTCTTACTTATCCAAAGCAGACTTCCTTTTGGAAACACTTTTCATCTCGAGATTAATTATAAACTGGAATTTTCACAAGGGAGAAGGAACAACCCATGCCTAAGGCAAGCAACACAACATGGGTTGTGCCAGATAACACCACCAGGGAGTTAACAGCCAGAATACTGAACTTTAAAATTTGCATGTGTCCCCTGTCAGTACATTCCAACTGCAACTGTCTGCTTTATTGAATGAACATACATTAGCTGTAGTGACATAACTTTTTTTTTTCATGTCTTGAGCCAAATAAAGGTAAGAACAGATTTGTTGCAAATTCAGTGCTGGTATTTTAACATCTCTCTCTCTTTGCAAAATGTGTTATTGGTAGCATAGGTGGGTTTTTAGGTAAATGGAAAGTCAAGTTTGAGTCATTAACAGTCGTTAAAAAAACAGCTAAATAACCATAGTGCAGTTATAACCTTACAAGGATAATTATGGGGAAAGTAATCATCGAATTAGTATGTATATGTCACAGGTGTAGGTTTGAAGAAATGCAGAGACTACAGCTGAGGTGGTTTCTTGAAAGATTTGTTTAACCAAAAAGGGCAAAAGAAGCAAAAATCCAAAAGCATAAATCCACAAAATACTGAAAATCAGGAATACTCACAACAAAGCAGCAAAAGTGACTGAGCAGGAGGTGCATATATGGGAGAGAGAAACAAAGAGCAGGCTAATCAGCAGATTGGGAGCAGGTGTGAACAGAGGAGTCTAGACGGGAGCTAAGGAAAAGGAGACTGACACACGATGGCAACAGAGGGAAAACAAGAAATACCTATGAACTCAAATACATCCAGAAAACACAACAAAATAGGAATTAAACAAATTAAACCAGAAAACAAAGAAAAACATGGATCAAAGTGAAACTGAAAACTCAAAAAGAAAGACTTAAACAGAACCGACAGTAACAGTATATAAAAGTTGTGGACTACAAGAATCTCTTTCCTTAAATTTTAAATAAGTCAATACAATCGTCTCAATAAACTTTACAATTCCTATAACATATATATAAATATATTTATTTATCTATATATCTATACATTTTTTTTATTGCTGGTGGTTTCAACTCTGTGGGGTTTTTTTGTGTGTGTGTTGGGGAGGGGCATAACCACCATGTCCTTTCTTGGGGGACTTATCTTTGGATGCTTTCCAAATTATATGCAATTTGGAATTTGAGGTTGCAAAAGGCTTGACCAACTTTTACAATAAAGTTGACTTTCCATTTTCTACTGCTTTATGAAAATTATTCTTTTATTCTAAGAATGTGCATCCAGGGGCTAACATTTTGCTTCCTTTAAGGGTAGATGTTTGTCCTTTTTTGACAAGAAAGTAAAAACTATTTTACACAAATACTGACAAGTGTTATTACTACTTTCGAACACCCGGTTTATGCAACTCAAAAATCTATTTCCTCTGGTCATCTGTCCCCTCTTCCAATGAGATTTAGAAGTCTTTGCAGAGATTTCAGTATTTGGGCAACACTCCGCTTGCAGAATACAAAAATATTTTCCAAGACTGGCACTTTCTTTCTTTATTCCCAGTATATTTTACCCCTTCCAAATTCTTGAATGAGAAAATGAGCGTTTCTAAGGAAAGAGCCAACCAAATAAACCAGTCTTTGGGCCTGGAGCCACTAATCTGTAATTTAATTTCACGCAGGCGTCTGGGGCGTGAGGACACAGACCAAGGTCAAGGACGACTGTACAGACTGCTCTGTATGTTTGGGCACAACCTGGGGTTTGATCAACACTTTCACAGAGCTTAAACAGAGGAGACGGTGTTGTGGTGTGTGTGTATGTGAGAGTGTGTGTGTCTATGTGTTTTATAAGTATTTCCATGATAGCTGCTGAAATCAGACTTGATGCAAGGTGGCTATTCAGCGTATGACAGCAACAAATATTCACAGAGAAAATCCATTATTCAAAACGAGTAAAATGTTTGCAGTGACTGAGCATCTGCAAACAGAGAGAGATTAGCCCCAAAATAGGACTGCGTCTAACTGGAAACAATTCAGCATGTCAAAATTGATCTGCATGTAAATGAAATATTTGTATTACTTTGACTGTAATTCACGCTTTACTCATTACGTAGTGTAGTCAGTGGATAAATCACCTAATGGAATGTGGAAGGGTGAATTTGAACAGCATGGCTAATCGTGTGGTAGAAGGGAAGAAACATCTGAAATAAACTCAACCATGTTCTGAATAAATGAAAACAGAGCTCCCACCCCGAAGAATAAAACCAATAACACCAGTGACAGTTTAAATATGTATCTTTAATGTCATTAGGCACTGTTTTTTTGTTCATTCTTTTTTTTCAAACAAATGGCTTTGGTATTCATATATAGGCAATTGGTACCTAGGCTAGTTAAACTACTGTAAAAAAGAAACAATAAAACAAGATGTACGTTCCTGCAGCTTGGAACAGATAAAACATCCAACATCAGCTGACGAAAAAAGCTAAGATTGTTTTTCTTCATTAAAAACTATTTCTTACATGTAAAGCTGTCAGGTCAGAGATTGGGACAAGAGTTTCACATGCGCCATTTGAGGTTTGTTAGAGCTTTGCTGGCATTCACTTTCAATTGCCTTGACTTACTGAATATAGGAGAGTGGTGCACACTGACAGGTACAAGTTACTCCAGCGACAGACGCTAATTAGCAAGTCCCGGAGTAGTAGGGAGAGCCAGGCTCTCTCTTTGGCAACTGAAGCAGGGTCATCTCTTTAAGTGTCTCATTTCCTATTAGACAGCACATCTCTGGCACACACCCCATCTCGGCGTATGCAGAGTGATGTCAGTGACAGACAAAGGATCCTGTCACATCCTGTAGTTTTCAAAGGCAGCTGTCGCTCTACGTGCCACAGACAACACAACTCACTCAACTGCATTTACTCACTGTTGTGCATCTCCGTCGAGAGAATGAAAGGAAGGCAATAGAAACTAATGGCACATGATATGTTTAAGTGTTTGGAGTGAAACTCGAGGGAAAGTCTTCGAAAGAAGATGATGGACTCATCTCCTGCTCAGCGAGGCTTTGACATTCTGCAGGGGATGCTGGAAAGTCTCCAGGTTGATGGATAGGTGGACTGGGATTACCCGCCAGACTCGTCCTCTTCTTCCCCACCCCGACCGTCTGGCCTCCAAATACTAAACGAGACAAGAAACAAAACAGAGAAAAATTATGTTGCTGCGAACCTGAAAGCTTGTTTTAAATTGTTATGATGGTTATAAATAAAAAAGAAGAAACACATCTACAGGAGTGTCACTAGAAATTTTGAGTCCCATTAAAATATTAGCCTGAAACTGACTCACAAACTGACTATTAGTCTCGCCTCTAACATCAGGCTCTACCTAGACCTTTTCTAGATGAATATGCCGTGTGCAACACCATATTGTACATGTGTCACATCATTAAGTAGTACATTTGTATAAGGGGAATCTTTCACCCTTCTGAGCACTCCTGATAAGCCATACAATTATTATCATTCCCTTAATGTGTCAGAGGTGAGGTTAGTCTAAAGTCAATAGCTGACATTCAGTGGAAACATTCTAGAACCAATTAGATAACGAAGGATACAAAGACATCTTTTTTTTTTTTTTTTTTTAAGGGTCTTACGGCAGCCAATTGTTGAAATTTTAAAAATGGAAACATATCTTCAGAAAAACAATTAGTGGCATGGTATATTGTATTTATGAACTGAACGTAAAAGGGCCATAACAACAAGCAGACCATTAGGACTGATGCAATAAGGTTCCGCTTGATACTCGTATCTATTTTTTTATTTTTATGTATTTATTTATTAATTAATTTGAGCAGTAAGTCTGCTGAAAAGGAGTGGACTGAAGCAAAGGCTTATAAACACCCTCCCCTTAAATATGAAACTTTATTGAAAATGACTTAGAGGAAAAAAGAGTATACAACGGACAACAGAGGCAATAATAAATAAGGGGTGAGTGAAAGAGATAGAGACAGGAAAAAGTGAATGAAAAGAGAGAAATCACTATCCGAGCCACTCAGACCCCTGCACACCATTGGTGCTCTATCCCTGGAAATCCCTTTCAACGGCAGCCTCTGCCCCAGTCGCCTCTTTGCGGTTTTCCGCTAATATTGGCGGTGGCTGGAAGGCGTTTTTCAGTTACATAATCGAAACTGTAGGCACCAGAATAGTAAAATTCACATACTTTGCCGGCAGGTTTCGATATTTTAAGTTAAGTTAGGCGTTAATCAACTGCATCAACAGCGCTGTATCTGTCTCCCTGCCAGCTCTAAGATAAGCATCTCTGATTGGTTGATGTGGCATGTCGAGCAGCAAAAGTTGCTCAGAAGCTCATGAGGCGCTGCTTCAGCTGCTCAAAATGCGCTGCAGGACCTTTTGCTGCACCTTGATGCGTGTCAACCATTGACTTTGCATGTAAACTAGCTGCTTCTGCTGTCTCTGCTGCTTGCGATCTGAACATAGCATTAGCAAACATTAAAGATAGCTGAGTCAAGCTTCCTCATGCATCCCCATTTCCGATCACTAGCCCTTACTCAGCAAGAGAAAGATCATTTATAAAAAAATGTAGACTCAAGGCTTATGGCATCATATCTGTGGTGAAAAAATACATATTTGAGGCTATGTAGTTGTTAGTATTTAATATTCTGATTTCCAGAAAATGCTCTCCTTGGCTTGAGAGCAGCCACACAGTGGGCTCATATTAGATATGGTCTCTGTTCCACTGCAAAACAGGAGGCTCACTGTCCCTAAATACTGACCAAACGTTATATTTAAGTGCAAACTGATGCTTTTGAACCATTGAAATCGGAAATTGGAGTCTTTTTTAAAATTTCAGAATATTTTTTTATTCTTTAAAAATTGTTTCTCCATCATCTTTGATTACTTTAACACACACCTGCTTAGCTTCTTGCTCAGAAACCAGTCTACTTGTAGAGCAGGTCGAGCAGAGGGAGGCTTAAAGACCGCTGCTACTCTTAGCTTGCTAAATATTTCCTGTATCCATTAATTCACTACAGCTGTGAAATATATGAATCCGGAGGGTTTTTTTTCTTTAGAAATATGAGCTACATGGGGAGAAAAGTGAGCTATTTGTCTCCGCCTCCACTAGCTGTCTGTGAAAAAGTTGTGTGCTCTGCTATGGTAGATAGACTGAACCATTTTACATAAACAGAGAGGAAGGGTGGGCACTGAAAATATTCCTTTATTTTTCAAGTAATCCATCACCTCTTTCAGCCCTTTTCAACACCCGCAATCAGGCACAAGATTACGACCACTCTCATGTGTCAGAGGTGAGCTTGTTCTAACGTGAATAACCATGAATACTGTATCTCTCTTTCATGGTACCTGTAAGGGGCCTCTTTTAAGAGGAACATTTATAATGCAAAAGGCAACAAAGATTCATGTGTTTGCTTTTCTGGCAACCAGATGCACTACAGATAAATGGTATTGTCATGATCTTGGCGCTGATGGTTTGTTTTTTTTCCTTTGCTCCTTGCTTTCCTGTCTATTTGGTTCTGCGGCTGATTATCGCTGATCATTTCCACCTGGTTCCTCTACTATTTAGGTTGTGTGTTTGCCTCCCATCAGCGCCAGGTTATTCGTGTGTTTTGGTGAGACGTTCCCTAGCTTTCTTTAGTCTGTCTGTTTTCCTGTTTATGACCAGTTTTCTGCCCTGTGGATCTCTAGTTTTGCCTTGCCCCTGTCTGCTCTGATCCTGGATTCTACCGGCTTGTGAACCTGGAACTGTCTCCTGACTTCGGCCTTGGATTTCCCTTCTGGACTCTGTTGCTGCTCTGCGTCTGCTGCTCGCTCTCTAGGAACTCTGGGGGCATCGCCTGCTGCAACTGCGGTCAAACCTCCACGAACGGACTGAACTTTGAATCAGGTCAGTGACTTTGCTCCAAGTCGCATTCAGCTCCACATCCAGTCACTGACCTGTATTCTCCTATCCCTGCAGAGATCCGCCCCGCAGCAGACGAGCAGCCCTGCGCACCTGTTTGTTAATAAACGCTTTGAACTTCCCCACTGCCTGTCTCGCCTTGAATGCTGGGTCCAACATTCTGAGATCATTACAGATATTCTGGTTAGAGGTAGTTCTATGCATTTGGAAACGTTCTCCTGGAAATCCTGGATCTTGCTAGTTATTGGAATGGTACTCTATCAAAACAGCTTCCCTGATTGAAACAGTTTTCCTTGTTGGCCTGTTTCCTACTCAGTCCTATTTTAACGGGTAATTGAAAATCTTCCCAAAGGTTAAGAATAGTGAGGAATTGCTAAAGAGTTTACTTGTCTTCCAAATTCCCCAGATCTCAATCCCTCTCCACCATCTTTGCAGGACAAACAGCTTCAGTCACATCACAGCTCATAGGAGTTAGAAGATCTGCTTCTAAAATGTTGCTACCACAAATCACACTCTCAGAGCTCACTGGAGTCCATGTCTCAAAATGTCAGGGGCTTTACTGACAGCAACACTTTTAGGTTAGTTATAATATTATGTCTAATTTGTGCATAAAATAATTTGACAAATAAACTCTGAACAGGTTATGCATTATGAAAATACAACTACAACATGGTTCCTCCTAACATTCCAGCAACCAACACGTCTCTTTAAATCAAGACATCCTCTCTGTGTGTCTCTCTGAACTTCTCCTCCCTCGAAGCCCCTGTGGACCACCCCACTGAGAGCAGAGCGAAAGAAATTGTTCTCCTTGCATCATTAAACAGTTTGAATTAACTCGGGTGGAATTTAATTATGTCACACATGACATTCCCCTACTTGAGGCTTTTAAAGGCAACATAGATTAGCTAGCTATAGGCTTGGAAGTTTAGTGTTATTTAGTCCAGATCTAAATGTTTAGGGAAAAGCTGATTTTCTGTGTGTTTCTCAGATATTGAACACATGTATTCTAAGATGGACCCATAATCTCTGAATTAGGATAAACACTCTTTGTTCAGATTTCAACTGTCTTGTCCTAATTATTTTGTCTTGAACAAAATGAAATATAAATAATTGACTTTTCATAAGCTAATTACTTAGTTGTAAATGCTCACTTAATAACTTATTCCAGTTATAGTATAGAAGCTGTTTGCAGCACATAAGTGACACTAATTATAATCCCTTTAATATATTTTACACACCAGAGCCAGTGTGATGTGGTTTAGTCCTAAATAAAAAACCCTAAATGCACATCTAGCTACTTGAGAATATGTCAAATCACAAACTGATGTAGTTAAGGAGTCTGCTGCTCCAAATGATAGAAAATCCATTTGCCCAGATTCTCTCCCTGTCAGGAAAGAATCCAACCTGCCATCTTATCCATCACCCAAATGAAAACGCAAATCTCACACGTGCATTTTTTTCATCACATTCAAATCCCTCAATATCCCTCCAGAGATCACTAAGGGGGAATGTCTCAAAGTGGATTGATCCAGTAAGAGGGTCAGAGGTGAAATAAGAAAATAAAAGCAATACAGAAACTGCCCTTTCATAAAGATCCGGAGCTAGTTATAGTCTTCTGATATAACATGTCTGGACTTAAGAAATGAAAAACTAAAATCTGTCTTAATGGTACAAAAATGATTTTCTTAGTCAGGGAATTTAATGCGGTTGTTTAAAAAAAAAAAAAAACTGCTCTTCCCGCTTAACAACTCAGAGACAAGTTGAAGAACAAATCCATTTAGTGGCGGTACACTGGATAGAAAACTAATCTATTTAGGCTATAGGAGGATGTTCACACAAATAAGATGCATTAGGTTTAATATAATATATGTTTGGCTGTGTCTCCATCCTGGAGAGAAATATCAGCTGAGCTGCTGCCATCAACACCTTTGTGTATAGATGTTGGAGCTTGGTCTGTTTTTCAGTTTAGTCCTGTTTCTCTGACTGTGACTAACTGGATGTGCTCTCTTCATCCTCTGACATGGGAGTTTGCTCGGAGCTCGTCTGCCTGGCTGTGTGTTTCCTGGACGGGGCCGCCTTTTACAGTTGCTTTTTGTATCTCTGTTTCTGTCTCATTGAACCCCATTCGGCCTCGGCAGACGGCCGCTCACACTGAGCCTGGTTCTGCTGGAGGTTTCTTCCTGTTAAAGGGGAGTTTTTCCTCTCCACTGTCGCTACAAGCACGCTCAGTGTGAGGGATTGCATTCAAA